TTTCCATCATATTGTTTTTTACATAATTCTTATTTTCATTTATACTTTTCCTTTTTAGAGCATTAATTACATCACCCTGTTTTGTTTAAAAACAAATAAGGAAAAAACCATGCAAAGAGAGTTTAAAGAAATACTTGATTATTTATAAGAAACAAAACAGTTTCAGTTTCTCTTCTTTCATAGCCTTCAGTAAAAAATGCTAGAAGTAATGGGACAAGAGTTGGCCTTTTATCTCAAGATGGTATGAGAGTATCAATATAGGTAAATTTTACCAATGATTTCAGAAAAACAATATCAAGCAGCTACTGTTGAATTTTTTAGAAGACAAAGATAGACTTTCTGAGAAGACAATCTCAATTTAGCATACATTTGATGAATGGATATTAGATGTTGCATCCTTTAATTTGAAACATAGCCTGGTACAAAGACAAAATAGCTGCCATAAGTGGGCCGAGGCCGAAAGAAGAAATTGTTGGCACATCAATCAACACAATTCAATTACACAGTAGTACACATCACGAACGATATAAGACCTTAAATGTAACGAACATTTTAGTATACTTTAATTTATCACAATTGTATCTATATTCTTTCTTTCCCCATTTCTTGGCCTGCATGGTTTGTGCGTCAGCCATGTTTCACGTTCAAAAGAGTTATTTTAGATGTATATTTTATAATTTTCCTTTGCTATGCTAAACCATTTTAAATATTAATCTTGCTAATTATTTTCCAACAGATAAGTCATTCTTGAGACATTTTCACAGTTTATCTTTTTTTTAATATTTTTCATTTTATATCAAATGTCAACCATTTTGTTCCATCTTTTGTTTCATAATTTATTGAAACTTTCCTGTATATTTAGAAGTCCGCTTGCTTTTTCTTTTCTTAATTCTTTTCGCCCATGGCGCAGGCGTAAGTCCGCTTGCTTTTTTATTGTATAAAAACCACTAATAATCACAGCCCGTCAGCTTTCGTATCAGCGGTCAGCCAATGCCAATAGTTATTAGTTGCATTATCTCATATCTACGAAGTGCGAACCTGAGTCCTGAAATAGCGCTCTACAAAAGAAGCAATACCCCGTAGAGTGTAGACAGCTGACAGACTATGGTATACTCTATACTCTATCTACGCAGTACGCAATATCCATATCAATATTACCTGATTGAATAAATATCTACCATTTTGTTAGGTAAATTATTCAACGCTTTGCAATTTTTTTCTTGTTATTAATGTAATAACATCAGTATCTAAAGTCAGATTATTTTATTATAATAAGGGCAATCTATTAAATTTATTATAATATAAAGCTACACTGGGTACCTAACTAATGTAAAAAAAAAACTTTTTTCAAAGGCTTTCAGATATTTTTTAATAGTAACACTGTGTACAAAATAAGTTGTGAAGTGAAAATCTCTAAATCTAATGTGCTGTATAATCATCAATTATTACGAAGAGACTCCAGTGCAAAATTGACGCTTTTGTGTTGTGATATCAACATTTTAACGAGATAGAGACTTACTGTGCTATATTGACGCTTTTGTGTTGTACTTTGCTATTTCATGTAATGAACTTGAAGTGTAAAATGCTCAAAGTGCGGCATAATATCTAAAGAAGATTTTTAATAAAATTGTTAACCATGTACACTCCTCGTATTATTTATCTACATGAAATAATTATTCCTTAAAATTCTGTACTTGCATACCATTATAAATTCTCGCGCCATACGATAGTACCTATGGCATTACCTGGAGCGTGTGTGTAAGCATATTTTTACTATGAAGTTGTTCTTCTTCGCTAGAAGTAATAGTGTTCTGTGATAACTACTAACTTGTATGTTGCCACTTGACAGTGCAGGGTTGCCAGAAGGAAAAAAAAGCACGATCGTACCCTAACAACACAAAAATCATATATTCCAAGGAAATTATTAAAAAGAAAGTGTAAAGTTTTTATTTAAAATGACTAAAATTCATTTTAATTTATAATTTTTTTTTATCTATTTATTAGACTTATACAAATTTTCCGCGGTCGTATTTCTTTATAGGTATTTCTTTTGTTTTATCGTATTAATTGCTTGGCTAATAATGTTCCATTTAGTGTTTCATTGGATAAACTATTTCTTAATCATCATTAATTGAATGTCGACGGGTTTTATTATTCTTTGTAGTAGTACTAGTTTCATCAGTGACATTGGTAGGTTCTATACAGTCCAGTTTTGATAGAATGGGGTCATATAAGTCATATCTTTTTTTAATTTCTTTAGCGCTTTTGATTATGAAAAGCCGACAGCGATGAAAAAACTCATTGTTGGCAGAAATCTGACGACGAAGTACAGGCTGTATAATTTTGTTCAATACTTGAATTCCCAAACCTGTTGACCAAATTTTTATGTATTTTATAATTAGGAGAATGTATATCTACCAGGGTGCCTATTAAAATTTGGCCGCTAGTACTTTGGGAATACATTTCGTTCACTTGTTATTTAAATAAAATATCGTCTACATTACGGCAATATTCATAAAGATTTTAAAAAATCACGGGTGCCTTTGATCACCTGGCCGCACTTCTTAGGTAGCCAGATGTAAACAGGTACGATGTCGATACATTTATACGTTCATAACGTACATTTATTAATTATATATCAAATCGAACCTAATTTTTTTCTAATAACTATCGTATATGGGTGCTTAATTAAATCTGGCCGCAAATAATGGTAACCTGCTGTTAAGTAAAGATGATAAATACATCATTTGTCAGACAAGGATAGCGAATGCCGCCTGTGCGACGCTTTTGATCTTAGACCATACCGGCCACGTAAATGTAAGCACGATGTTCATAAAGCTCAAATTAGAAAGAATGTAATATCAATGTTAACAAGAATATATTTTTAACAAACCATTCCAAATTATATAGAAACTTATTTGAAAGAAATAGAAAGAGAAAAAGAGAGTACTAGGATACATAAAAAGAAAAAAGTGCCGGGTAAACTTACAGGTATTTTTCCATCAAATCATTTTCCATAAATCATACAGCTACGAGTACACATTGTTATTATAATGTAAGCATTATTTGAGACTATTCGATAAAAAGAGTATAAATATTATTATTGGTAAATATTCCGAATCGCGGCACCAGCGATTTTGAGGCTGATTTTTTTTTACATTCGCGTTATTATCTGTAAACATCATAACTATAGGTCTACCAGGATCTGATGGCAAAAAGGGAAAAAAGAAATTGACGCTAGCAATACTGGGGAAATTGGAGTAAAACGTTTTGATACTTTTTTTTTCCTTATAGCGGCTGATTCTGTGTGTGATACATGCAAAATATATACAAATTTATATAATGATAATTTTTGAAAATGTGGCGAATGTGGGGTTTGAAATTTAGATGAAAACTCCAATTACTCTGTTCATGAGTTTATTAATTAATTAAGAACTTGAAAATGGTTCCAAATACTGCACATCCATAAAAAAAGTCTTCAACGTAGTATGTATAATAAACCTTTCCTCCTGCATCTCAATTAACCGATCTTGTTCTATGAACTGATTTTCAATTTTTATTACATGTCCACAAGATTTTCGCTATTCATCCCTATTTGAGAGAAAGAAACAGTGTAAAACTCATTTATCTTGTTTCTGATCAATTCTAAATCAAAACTATCCAAGTTTATTTGTAGTATAAGAAACCCCTGAAATAAACCAAAGTTTAGTATAAGTACATAATATAATACACACGAAAAATCCCATAAACCAAAGTATCAAGACGTGTCATTCCTACTAACCAGTCAACGCTTGCACATGGCTCAATATCGATGATTGTGTATGTTGATCAAGTATTCTTTGATAAACATTGAAAACAATATGTCTTGCTTGCGATCGAAGAGGTTTCTTCGACATTTTCATCACTTTTTAAAGGAAATTTGAAGCCAGACCAAAAACAATTCCTCGAAATTTCAGTTGACACATGAAATTTTTCTTTTATTGCCATATGAAAATCGCTAATTTAAAAAAAAAAATTTTGCCATCAGATTCTGGTAGACCTATACTATTGTAATGATGGCGCATGAAAAATAAAATCAATTTATTTAAAAATTCCGCCTCCGATTTTTTAGGTACACTCTAGGGGTATGGCAGACAAGACCACGTGAATAGTGGGGTGCTCTGATTCGGTTTTGGGCTGCTCATATTTTTACAAGATCTAGCAGTCGTTCGTTTCACAGCATTCGTAATATTAGTAAAGTATATTTTTTTGAACTAAAGTCATCATTTAACTCTGAATGAATAAGAAAAGTTTTTTATTATTCATTCATCAAAGTCATTATCTCTAAGCCAACGGGTGATCACTTTTCTGTGACTGACGTCGGCGACCTATTTGGGTCAAAATCATGGTGACATCCTCATGATGATTTTCTTGATAAACAAGTATTTAACGCTGCGCACATAGCACACAATTATTGGAAAACGCACAAAGTAAAGCCTATTGGTGCACAGCCGGAGCTCGAAACTACGACCACAGACAAATCCACCATCTAGGATTAGAGGAGTTGCACGCTCAAGGCACTGGGTCAATATTGCTCAAAGTTGATATCAAACTGATTAATTTTTTAGTTTAAATGTTATTAAAGATATTTATACAATTATTGTTAGGTTTAAGTGATGTTCCTATGCCATTTTATATTTAAGATGTCTACATCTAGATAAGTATTGGCATCTGCCACCTATAGTTTTCTTATGTTCCTTTGGACGTTTGGGAAATTTATCACGTTTTAATCTGTTGTGTCAACTATTATCTGTTATTATTTTCTATCTATTAATATATCGATGACTTAAAGGTCTATGTTACCAGGTCATAAAATTAAAAAAAAAAAATATATTATATCGCTATATATATATCGCTTCCATAAATTAGAATTGAATTTGATACATTTTAATATTTGAAATTTTGAAATAACATATTTTTTATATTTTTACCTACGTGATATGTGACAATAAATGGTTAAAATGGGATTACCAAGTGTCTGCCGTTGTTGTTTAGCTGAAGGAATGCACAGAGACATTGATATCCCATACATTAATGATGAAAGTAAAGAAATTTATTCCAACATGCTTCAGGAATGTTTTAATATTGATGTGAGTATTGAATAAATATGCATTTCCTTTTATACATTTACAGTCCGCATGTCGTAGTATAAAAAGTAATTAAATAAAAGAGCTACTTGTCTGGACTCCAGCTACATAAAAATAATACAATTCTGTTAAAACAATAGCAATACAGTATAATAAGCATATAAGTATATCTATTGTAGAGCAAAGACAATCTTTGTACAATTAGGTTCTAGTATTAGATAGTATTAGATATTAACATACAAAACACAGTTCAACATATTATAAAATTAACCTAGATATATCTCTTGTAATTAAAGTTAACTACTTTCAGTTAAAATTAACCTTTTATAGTTAAAATTGAGATTATACAAATAACCAAACTAGTTATATAGAAAAATGGTAGGCTTAACCGCTGCCCAAGGAATGCTTTTTAAACTTTGTTCCTACTTCTTCATCTTAGAAACTAATTAATATTACAGCTATCTACACAGGAGAAATCAAAGTCAATATGCCTTAAATGTATTACACGATTAAGAGATGCCCATGATTTTAAGCAGCAAGTTGTCTATTCCGAAAAGATGATTACTAAAGTATTGCAGGAGAGAATTGGTAATATATTTACTATACTTTATTAGTTCGTTGCCTGTGTCTATCTCTTGACAGGTTTGTCATAACCCATTAGTCCTATAGACATAATTGCCCGCTGTATTTCAATTGTGTCTAAAATGTCTTAAGTGTAGACTTTGCCCAGCATATGCTAACGCCTACCATAGTTTAGTTTTGCCTTATGTAATCTCAGGATTTGAATTTATGGGTCTTCTGGACTAGGAATGCACCAATTACATGCTAGCTAAGAGCAACTTTAATTGGATCTAGGCCTCAGACATCTTTTTCTTCAATCATTTTCTTTTATTAGTAAGTCACACATGTAGTTGATGATAAGCAGGTGTTTTCACTATGTTTGCTATGCTTTTGAGAGGGTTAAACATAGAAAGAAGCGAGTAATTGTTCCCATGCACTGTGAATGGAATATAAGCCAGTTTTGATTTTAGTTGAGGCAGTACCTATCAAGTGTGAAATGAAGTCTGAAGATGAGAATTGTAATGATGTAGAAGACGGCCTGTTCTTAAATGTTGGTAAGTTAGCTGGTTTTGTCACTGGCAAATCTTTATATATATATAAATCTTCTGTGAGTGTGTATGTCACTGAACTTCTCTCAAACGACTGGACCGATTTTGATGAAATTTTTTGTGTGTGTTCAAGGGGATCTGGGAATGGTTTAGATTCACAAATCAGCCCGCCAGATGGCGCTGCAGTCGGTACTTTCATACTTTGCTTTACTAATTGCTTGAAATATCATGCAGGACAACGTCTCTCGGGTCCACTAGTACCTAAATAAGTTTTCATAAGCTAAACACCAAAAACATTTACATATTTTAAATAAAAAGAAGAAAATTAATTTATATTATTTATGCAAAGTTTTGTGCATAGACAAAGATTTGGGTAGTATCAATTAATATATTTAAATTTGTAGTAATTGTGTTAACTCAATGTTTATATTGCTATACATGCTAATTTTCAGGCATTATATATAGTTGGTATATGGAAAGAAACATTACATTATGGACAAGGGAAACTAAGGAAAGTCAAGTAATTTCTATGTTTTAGGTATTTTTAACTTATTACCCCTAATGCATTAAAACTGTCAGTATTGTTGCACTATTTTAATGATTCTCATTGTCTCTTTCTGTCAAATTGTGATTCCGCTGTTATAAAACGAGATTGCGAGATCAGAATTATATTGACATTAGTTGAGTACCAATTCTGTGAACCAAGTGATTACCAAACAGCTGTGTCAGCAAACTTTGTTAGGAAATGATTAGGGCCCTACCACCATTTTAACTTAGATCTAGTTGGAAGATATGTCATACCATATTATTGTTTGAAATTTGACATATTTGACAGTGATCAAGTGGAGATGCACACTTAGGGCCGGTTTTTTGATCCGTAGTTAACTCAACTATTGGTAAAAAATCGTTACTATTAGTTAAATATCAGCAAAATGCGTTTTTTGATCCGTGGTAAGAGCATCCAATGGTAAAATATCTAACAATTAGTCAAAAAAGTTAACTACTCAGTATCGGAGGGTTAAAAAGATGGCCGCTGGTAATTTATATAGTAACAGCTGTTTGTCACAGAAATCAAACTATGATAAATACGTTTATTACTATCTAATGATGAATTTAAACATATTGAGATACTTTAATTAATGAGACGATGAAGAAGACGATAATATTATATGAGAATGTGTTAATGAGTGACCAAAAATATTTAGGCAATGTCATCCGCCATTAGAAACCTGGGAAGATGTAGATTTTTGTCACTGTTACCCCCTATCGAAGGGAACAGTGCTCTGGATTGTTACTGAAATTGGGAATGATCTTAATCTGCCAATGAACAAGAGTATATATAGACAGCAGCAGCTCATACCAACCTATTTTGCTTCATTACTAGCTACAGAACCGCAGCAGTATATAATTAAGTATATTACTAATTCATTATGTGTTTTATTGCCTATAATATTAACTTATAATTATTATAAGTTAATATTATAGGCAATAGAATACATAATGAATTAGAGTTAATATTATTTATATATTACTAATAATATTAACTTATAATTATTATAAGTACATACAAGTATGTACTTATACTAAAAACTACAGCTACACATTAGTTAGGGACCTATGATATTCTTTAGGGCTTTTATTACATTTGTGAGTTAGCATCTACCTACTTTATTACAAGAATTTATAAATAAAACATTTGACTTGATTAATAAACTGTTTAATTATAACTTAAATACAAACCATTTTTATTAAAAAAACATTACAAAATTTACATGAAACCCTAAAGTAGCAATTAAATATTTTCTAATTGTTTCTTCTTGCATTTCACCTCAATTTGATGCAACTCTTTTTGCTGCTACATATATTTATTGTGAATTTCTTCCATCTGCTGCATCACTTTTTGGTGCACCTCCTCTTTATGCAGTATGGATTTTTGGTGGGCCTCTCATTGGTGCAGCAAATGTTTTTGATGCTCTTCCTTAGCATAATTGAACAAATCATCCTCTCTTATTTGTCTTTGTTTCAAAAACTCAATTTTTTTTATCCGTGTGGATCATAATCCGCTTCCTTGTTTCCAAAGGGTTAAAAGATTTTTTCCTTTTGTTGTAGGACACAGCTATACAAGAATAAATATAAAAATGTGCCTACACCTTCATTAAATGTATATTAAATTTAACACTTCGGTGTCTAGACCCATCTGAGTTGAAAACGTCACAGAGATTTCCAAGCTGCATCTTTTTGTAGATTGCTGCAGTGATCAGTTGTTTGCAGGTTACGACTGTGTAATTTTATTTATTTATTTTTTATTTTACATTTAAGGAACAGAAACAGAAAACAGATTGGTGAAATACATATAGTTATTACACACTAAGCAACATTTGTAAACCTGAATTTCCAATTATATCTGTACACAGCATTTTAGTGGAATCTTCAGTGCTGGTTGACCAAATATTAACAATTAAATACAGTGTATAATATGTACATATATTAAACTTAATGACAAAAAAAAAAATAGAAAAATTTAATGACAAAAAAGAAAATTAAGTTATTCTGGTTGCAAGTCTGCACCGCGAATAATCTTTCTAAATTCATAACTACTATTGTGAAAAATATCAACATGAGAACAAACAGAATTATAATACTTGCACATTCTAGCGAGCGGACCATTCTGGGATACATTGTTGTTACTTGTGGGTATCATAAATAGTTGCGGCTTACGCACAGAACGCGTCGGTACCTTGATGTCAAGTTCATCCAAAAGATAGCTGTCAAGTGAGCCATTTGCTATTTTATGCAAAGTGCACAGGTCGCTCATCCATCTTCTCTTTTCAAGACTTACAATCTGAAAGTGGGCAAGACGCTGGTCATATTGCTTTAATTTGCGCCTAAGACCATACTTTGAGCATAAAGCTCTAACAAACCGCCTTTGTATAGATTCTAATCTATCTGTATGAACTTTGTATATCGGGGCCCATACAGCTAAACAGTACTCAACCATGGTTCTCACGAGAGAGCTGTATAAGGCAATCAAGGAGTCGGCTCGCCTGAACGGTTTAGCGGTTCTAAGAATAAAGGACAACATCCGGTTAGCTCTACTACAGATATGATCATAATGAGGTCTAAATGACATAACAGAGTCAAATATTACTCCCAAGTCTCGAACCACCTCAACTCTATCCACAAGAATACCCTTAACATTATAGTTATACTGGATAGGGTTCCTACTTTTTGTAAATGTTATAACCTGGCACTTCTTAATATTCAGAGCCATAGAGTTTTCATCGCACCAAGCAGATATAGTATTAATATCCGATTGAAGGGTCACACAATCTCTTTCATCAGATATACGTCTGAAGACTTTTATGTCGTCTGCATATGCCAAACATTCACTACTAATTTTGCTTAGCAAGTCATTCACAAATAACAAAAACAATAAAGGACCCAACTTTGACCCCTGGGGCACGCCCGATGTTACTAAAAATGGCACAGATTCATATCCACAAAGAGCAACGAGTTGTGTGCGGTTCAACAGGTAAGAAGTTAACCATCTATATAAGTTCCCATGGATTCCCACATGTTGAGCCTTCACAAGCAATACAAAATGGTCCACTCTATCAAAAGCTTTTGAAAAATCGGTATATATAGCGTCCACCTGCTTTTTATTATTGAACGATGAACATAAATAAGTAGTATAGCATAATAGATTAGAGTTGGTTGACCTGCCAGTAACAAATCCATGTTGTCGTGGGCTTAATATATGTTTGAGATGGTTATACATATGGGTATATATAAAACCCTCGAATATCTTAGCAAATAAGTTTAGAATACAGATAGGTCTATAATTCAAAACATCACCCTTGTCTCCAGATTTATACACTGGTGTAACTTTAGCTATCTTCCATAGGCTAGGAAATACTCCCTCATGCAAAGATTTCTCAAATATAATCAATAACGGTGTAACAAGAGCAGGAGCGCAAAAACGAACAAAGATAGGTGGGATACCGTCAAAGCCAGAACCCTTAGAGAGATCGACATTTTGTAACTTTTTTAACAGTTCCTCTCTAGTTATTTGTAAATTACCAATAGAGTAGTTTGATGATGGAAAGTTAGGAGAGTAATTATTTGTGGTATTGGAAGAGTAAATTGATGAGAAATGACTAGCAAACAGGTTTACAATATCTTCACCGGTAGTACCAATTTTGTCTTGATAACACATCTGACTAAGAATATTATTGGTGATACGTTTTGATTTTGTGTAGCGCCAAAAAGCTTTTATGTTGAGTTTAACATCCTCTTCAATTTGCTCTATATATGTTCTGAAGCACCTCTGGGTAACTTCCTTGGCTCTAGTACTAAGAATAGAGAACTCATCATAATCCCTGGGGTTTCCAAATCGCTTAAATCTAGTATGAGCTTTGTTTTTAGATGTAAGCAATTTAATTAAATTTTTGGAGAACCATTGAGGATATTTATTATTTGGACCATTAGACTTTGGAGTATATTTTTCTATGATTGAATGTATATTGTTGTAAAATAACAAAACAAATTCGTCACATCCCATATTCAATGCAAATTCTGTCCAATCAATTTTCAATATATCATTTTTGCAGCTTTCATAATCAGTTTTACGAAAACATAGTTTTTTAAGCGATGTGTTCTGTATCAATGTAGAAGGAGTAGTTTGAAGTATCAGTTCAAATGTCGGATGGTTCTCATCTACACGACTTATGTGTAGAGTAGGTGTAATAGTAAATAAGTCTGGACAGTCAGTTATAACTAGATCTAGTATTCGATCCTTATAGTTCTTATTAAAATTAAGTTGTCGCAATGTAGTAAGATCGAATAGGTCACATAAAGCTTTTGATTTTTCACAGTAATAGTTCAGAGGACAGCCAGTTTCAGTTGACCAGAGAACATGAGTTAGATTAAAATCACCCAATATACAAGTCCTGTGATTAGACATATTACCAACTATGTTACTACATTTTTTAATAAAATCACAAGCTGCATTTGCCGATAGATATCCAGGCAGATATGCAACACAAAGATTCATAGTAAAATCACCGTTCAATGAGATTTGTACCCACAAATCCTCCATATAGTCTGACTGCCAGTCATTTCTCACCAAAATTTTGAGTTTTTTAGAATAAGCAATTAGTACACCACCTCCATGATCCTTACCATACCGTTGACAAAATCCAGGATCACGATCCCTACGTACCACACAATATCTGTCATCAAACAGTTCAGAGGAAAATACATCGGCATCAAGCCAAGTCTCACATAAACATATTATATCAAAGTTATTACATAATACATTATTGTAAATATCAACAGTCTTGCTCTTCATACCTCTTATGTTTTGATAATAGATTGAAAGAGACATTTTAGCTATTAAGTATTTATGCAATTATTATTACCCGTTAAGGTACTTGAGTATGCACTGATGGTATTAATTTATTAGAGCAAGGCTATCGGTATTCTTAATCAATATATACTTAGAATCAATAGTTTTTCTAACATATATACGTCCATTTTTTACCCAAGTAAATTTATAGCCAAGTTCTTTTGCCTTTTTACGAGCTACGGCATGTAAAGATTTGTTGGAAGGCGATAAATGTTCACTCACATACACTGGTTTCTTATCACCTGCAATTACAAGTAATGATGTATTTAATTTGTCACTAGAGTTCGATCTATTATATCTATATATAGCAGAGTAAAAACTATCACGATCTTCTACGCATCTAAACTTGACAATTATAGTACGAGGTAGCTTGCTTTCTCTATTCAATTTAGCGACTCTAGTGCACTTTACTATTGCATCTTCCTTCAAGTCATGACCTATTACACGAGAACATTGTTTCAGAAGATTGGGTAAATTTTCATTATGGTGCTCAGGTACACCTTGCATCTCCAAGTTGTTCTCGCGCATATGTTGCTCCAGATTATTAAGACGACCAGACAGTTCCAACACAGTGGACTTGAGTTCGAGATTCTCCCTAGAAATTAATTCATTATCCTTGGCTAAATTATTTATCGCAGACTTCATTTCATCATGCATTGTACTTAGGAAATCAACAGATTGGCGAAAATCCAACAAGTCATCCTTAACAGATGATAATTCTGTCTTCAAGATACTAGATATCATCTGCGGCAGTTCAGTTTTAATAGCTTTAAGTACTTGGTCACTTATAGCTGATACTAAGGCGTCCCTATCCTGTAATGAACCAGTATAACCAGGTATCTGTTGACTGTCCAATTGTTTCTTTCTTGTAGTAACATTTTCCGTACCAATCTCTTTATCACAAATTTTAGAAACCTCCTCTTCAACCTCCCTAAGGTTTCGCACAGGTGTATTGGTGTTTCCCACTTTTGTCAGTTTACTCCTGCACTTGTTTTTTTGCTCTTTAGTCATAGAAGAGAATATCTTTTTATCCGACATATTTGCACATACAAGGTCATAGGACTTATAACACTTGCTACATTTTAAACATTCTCGGCTATCCACGCTGTTCCGACAACCAGCACAAATAGTACTCCTAGACGCCATCTGTGAATTCCAAGGGGTAACTGGTACGCAAACAATCAATTTGGTGCAGAACTGGATTTTGTTGTTATTCTATTACACTTCACAAACTTCAATGTATTTATTTAATTGTGTGGAGTCATCGTACAAAGTTGTTACTTAGTTAATAATATAATAAAATAATAATAAATATTAACATCCAATATTTTTGTCGACTTAGGTTTGAACTCAGGCCGCCGATGCAAACACTCGGTTATGGAACGCGGTTTATTTGCAACGCCACGACACTCTATGACGACGAGGACGAATCACTTGTACAATTCCTTTGTTGTATGACGTAAACAAAGTGTGACTTATGCAATATAAACTCACTGCAAGTCACGTACACACTTTTTACATCACAACGTAGTAGTAGTAGTGTAGTAATCACACAAAATTGTCCATAAGTCACTTGCACTAGAAAAGACACCCACATTCAAAGTCACCGCTACAATAACACAAATTAAATAGTTAAATTTTTCTCTTGTTTACACAGTCAAAGAGGCAGAAACGTTTTCCAGTGGTATTTCTTCTTCTGGTGCAGCTCAATGTTTACTTTTTATTGTGTATTTTCCACTATTTCTATTTTTAATTGGTTATTATATGAGGACTCGATATTCAAGTTGCACCTACCCGCAATATTGAGGGATTAATCCTTGAGAAGCATCACCAGTTTGGCAGTTTCTTTTTTGGCGAAGTTAGCAGTATGGTCCCTTTAACAAAACATAAATGTATTACTTTCTATTACGAAACACAAGATAAACCGGAATAAATAACACGAAAATATGTTTGTACTTACTTATTTGACCGTTGGCTGTTTGCGGACATCGTTATTTATATATTTAAGTATCGTAAAAAGTGTAAACCGTATTAAAACACAGAAAAACAACTTTATTTATATCGTGTTATTTAGATTAATTTGACAAATTGTGTGTCATACAAAATAAATGTTCCCCACAAAAAAGAACCACATTTTTTGGGATGTCATTGCTCATTGCACTGGCAACAAATTGACAAATTGTTAAGATTAACTATAGTTAAAAAAGGCATTGAAAAACGCATTTACGATTTTACCAATGGTTATTCATTTAACTATAGTTAATGTAACAAATGGTAAAACCATTTTTTACTACGGATCAAAAAACTGGCCCTTAAGGTGTTTTTTGGAACATAGATTATATTGGAACAATAATTGTTTCGTTTTGGTCCCATGTCCCAGTATAACATGACCAATTTTTGTATATGGAGCAAAAGAGTTATATTTTTTTTTGTTTTAGTTAAAGAAGAATTAAAAAAGAAAACAAAAGAAAAAGTTAAAATAAAAAAACCAAGGGGATCAAAGAGAAATTTGGCTCTTATAAAAAGAATTTCAAGTGAGTAGTCTGTTAAATTATTTGAATGATGCAGTACATTCACAGTGCAGAAGTGATTTTTAGTAGCTTCTAAAATGATTTAAGGTGAACTTGCTTAAAGGTTCTGATGACTGTTTCTGATCTGTATTCTATAACATCAATGAAACTTAAATCTAGTTTAGTTTAGAGGCCATAAAACCAATTCTTATTAAGTTGACAGTGCTTAAAACGAGTTACTAAGAGTTACTGACAATTTGAACATAATCATAGTTATCATTAAATTTATCTTAAATATCAACAATGTCGAAACTTATTACTATTTTTCAACAATAATTTAGATATTATCATAATTATTGAGGTAACGCTAATAAGATAAATATTTCAGATGACAAGAAAATGAAAAATATACTTAGTACAGTAAATGAGCTAAAATTAATTACAAAACCTCCGCACGAGAAAGACAAACATAAAGAAAATCTGGCAATACTTTTAAAATACTCAAATGTATTGCCTTTTAAGGACAAATCTTTGGTTGGATTCATCTGTGGATATTGTGATAAGACCTATGAAGATCCATTAGATCTTAGGAGCCATACGGAATATGACCACAAGAGTGAGAGGCTAGAACTATACACACCATCGGACTTAAATGACTGTCAAATAAAACTAGAGGTCTCTAACCTAAAATGCACAATATGCGAAGAACATGTAGAAAATTTACAAAAACTCAAAGAGCATTTAGTGAATAGCCACAATAAATCCATTCATAATGACATTAAGGACCACTTAACTCCCTTTAAATTGACAAAAGGCGATATTTTTAACTGCATAATGTGTGCTTCAACTTATGAAACATTCAAAATGCTCAAACAACATATGAATGTACACTATAATAACTATGTATGCCATTGTGGATCCACATTCATAACAAAGAGATCTCTGACTGCACACAAAACTACCCACATTGAGGGTAGTTTCAAATGCGACTTATGTGAGAAAATATTTTCTAATCGTGCCAAGAAATCCTACCATGAAAGAACATCTCACTTAGGCTGTAGAAATATTAGTAATTGTCCATATTGTGATGAATCATTCAGAAGTTACTATCAACGGAACCAGCATTTGGTGAAGGTACATAATACAGAAGCCCAGTATAAGTGTAATATATGCAACAAAGGGTATATTCTCAAGAGCCTTTTGATGACCCATATTAAAAAAAATCATATGATGGAAAGGAATTATCAATGTGTAGAATGTGGGTACAAGTTTTTCAATAGCAAAACGCTAAAGGCACATATGGTAAAGCACACTGGGGAGAGGAAATATGCATGCGAGATATGCACTAAATCATATGCAAGGAAGTATACATTAAGGGAGCATATGAGGATACATAATAATGATAGAAGGTTTAAATGTGAATTATGTGGTAATGCATTTGTGCAAAAGTGTAGTTTGAAAAGTCATTTGCTGTCCCACCATGGTATGAGTATTCCAGCTTGTGAGATTTCTGTTGCATCTTAAAAAAAAATGTACTCTTGAAGTTTTATTGCCGCCTCCTTCAGCCATAGGCAAAAATACTTTTTGAAAGGCTTGCCAAAATTCTACTGCTTTACTTTTCTACTTTCTAACAAGTGCGTGCGTACAATGTACACAATACACATGTCAGAAGTGAAACTTCTTTGGCAAACTAATTATTAACTCTTGTTCAAATTTATACAAAACTTAAACTTTTAATTTATTTCTTCGATACTAAAAACACGTGGCATTTTAATTTTCAATTCGTCATTTGTGATTTCAATAAATTATTTTGCATAAAATACAAAATACTAATATTTCATAAATTCTCTTTACGAAATTTTAATTTTAAAAATATAATTTCTATAAGTTAATTCACCCTTCGCACTCTCTCTCAATCGCTCTCTCCCTTTTTTTTTTAGACAAAAACGCTGCACATCTTCGTGACGTTCCGTAATGTTTTTGCTTTAATATAAACTGAAAACGTTAATTGGTCACATTTAAAGGACGAGATACCATTTAAAAACCTTCGTTAATTTTGCCTGAATCTTAAAAACAATTCATTAATCATTTTTATAGTTTTGTATAAATTGTGATAAGGTGTCTACTGTCTTGAGTAATTGGATGGTGTTAATCCTATACAGATCGTTACGAAAAAATTAAGAAACATTCATAAGCTCTTACATAAAATAAACGACTACAACGGTCAACCAAACATATTAATTATTAAGTTAGAAGTATAATCTATAGTCTATACTGAGATAAGTAGTCTGTGCATTTTATGCATTCATTCATACCTAGTACTCTGTAGTCTGTACTATATAAGCATTTAGCATACGCTCAACGCTGCGGCCTGTGAATATCACGTCGGCGGTCGCCGGTCGGGGTCACATGTTCATATTTTGGCACTCCAGGCCACCAGACAAGTACAAGAATCCGCGTGAGCTATTCTCCGCGGATATCTCAACCACCGGACAAGACACCAGGGCAGCAACTGCGGCTACGACCGCTGGTCGCCTCGCTGGGCCTCCCCCGGGGCCACCGGGGGTCTCAGGGTCCGTTCACACAGACCGGCTCGGAGAGCATCGGCCTGCTTTTTTCTTTTCACACAGACCGGGTCGTATACGCTTGGAATTGGCCGGAGCGGAGCCGCCAACTATTTCACATCGACCGGCTGGAAGAGATCTGAAAGCGGGTGCGGTTGGATGTGCTCGGAGCCGGTCGGATGCGCTCGGAGTCGGGTGGATACACTACAAAGGCAGTGCCAGTATTCCGCGCAGTCTAAGTTTTGTTTTCGGTGTGTTAACGTGTGCTTTTCGAAACATGGATTTAGATAGCTCCGACGAAGAAATATATTTGTTAGCAAGATTACTTGAAATAGAACATAGGAAACGTAAGCGCAAGCGGAAACAAATATGGGTAAAACATATTTGGAAAAACAGACTAATCCATGGGGAGTTTCACACCATTTTCGAGGAATTGAAGAGAGATAGCCTAAAATTTTATGAGTATTATCGTATGGAATATTGGCAATTTTTGAAATTGACAGATTTGTTAAGAGTACATATAACAAAAAAGACTACAAATTATCGTTGCACCATTACAGCCGAAGAAAGGTTAACGGTAACTTTAAGGTAAATAAAAAACAATTATTTATACTAATCATGTTATTTAGATCACAAAATCACAGCCCTCCATTTATTAAGCATTGTTTACGTTAATGAAATGTAATTAAATAGTACAGATTTGTGTGTGTTTAATTATTATTATTATAATTATTATTGTTTTTGATTGTTTATTATTTTGTATTTTGTGTGCTGGTATTGTACCCGCAAGTAGTCTGATCTGGATAGTTTTGAGGAATATAGGTTTCGTTTGACACTAGGTAAGTAGATTGATTAGTCGATGGCGGTGAATTTATAGACAAAGAATAATTCAAATCTGTACTATTTTCATACAGACTTAATTCAGCTTCATTAACAATGTTAAACACGCGCCTTTTAATTCGTGCTTGGACTTCTTTTGGAAATGTTTCCACTGTATCTGACATAGACAAAAAAAAATTACGTAATGCCTTGTCACGGGGTGTAGTATTTCTTTTTTCTTCAAGATACTCTTCGAAAACCGTAGCAACATCTTTGCTTAAGCGTGGTCTCTTTTTCGAGCCAGAAGTACTTGCAAGCGATTCAACTTCAGAATGGTCAGAACGTTTAGATGATGTCGATGGTGGTGGTATTGGTGTGCCAGGCTCTGAATCATCCGATGATAATGTTACATTAGATATTTGGTTTCGATTGCGAAAAATGGTATTATAAAAGAAAGTTCTTTTTCAAATTTTATCAATTTGGACGTAGTTGCACCATCGCCACTCTTGCTTTTTCGGTTATAATAGGCTTTTCTGAAGTTATCTCGCAGTTTCTTCCAACGATCCTGGCACTGCGTCACTGGAAAGAACAGAAATGAAAAATTAATAACATAACTCTTTTTATTTTATAGTTCGTTTTGGTACGGCAGTCTTATATTTCTATTTTGTGTGTTTGTTTTATTTTTACAGATTCCTCATCACTGGTTGCAGTTTCAAAAACTTGTCATTTAATTTTCGAATGGGAATTTCTACAGTTCATTCAATTATTCATGAGACAATCAGAGTAATTTGTGATGTTTTGATGCCCATAGTTATGCAGATGCCAGATGAAGAAATGTGGGAAAAGGTTTCACGTGATTTCTTTAATATTTGGAATTTTCCTAACTGTTTGGGCGCTATAGACGGAAAGCATGTCAATATACAGGCACCAGATAATAGTGGAAGCTTATACTATAATTATAAAAACTTTTTCAGTACAGTGTTACTAGCTGTGGTCGACGCGAAATACAGTTTTTTAATTGTTGATGTCGGATCATATGGTAAAAATAGCGACGGCGGAATTTTACAGAATTCAAAATTTTGGAAAAAACTCAACACCAATAAGTTAAAGCTGCCCCCAAATAAACCTCTACCTAGTACCACTGAAAGCTTACCACATGTTTTTATAGGAGACGAGGCATTTCCTTTGAGCAATAATATATTGCGGCCGTATCCAAGAGAACAAGCAAGAACAGAATTATCAAAAAAAGTATTTAATCTGCGTTTAAGCAGGGCAAGAAAAGTCGTAGAATGTGCATTTGGAATGCTAACTCAAAGATTTGAAATTTATCAAAAACGAATGAAAATTCAGCCGAAGTACTGTGATTTAATTATATTAGCAACTACATGTTTACATAATTTTTTAATAGAAAATCGGACGCCAGGACAAGAGAATGAATTTCACAGCAATATAAATTTATTAACAGCAATAACAGACAATAATAATGAAAACAGTTCTAATAGCGACGCAGTTCTAACCACAAGGAATAAATTTAAGGATTATTTTTCATCAAGTGGTGCTTTAGATTGGCAAGATCAAGTGGCTACGCGAGTTTCTTAAGTTATATTTAATAAAAATTGTCTACTACATAAGTATATTCTAACGATCAGATACTCAAACGAGTTTTTAAAGTAAGGGCGCATTTAAACTCATGTTATTCCTATTTTGACTTTGAATCTAACACGTCGCAGCACGAGTTTAAGAAGCCCTTGCTTTAAAATTCGTTTGAGTATCTGGGGGTAGGTGTAAAACAATGAAAACCTTACTTACCACTTATTCCGAGACATTTGCTAATTTCCTCCCATGCATTGTCTTTCATTATCCGATCGCTATATGATGGCTTGGTTATGTCAAATAAACACTCATATTTTGACACGAGTATTATTAATTTTTCATCATTCATCTTTTCGTACAAGTACGCACAACTATTACGTTCAAATGTTGCTATCAAAATGGCGGTCGGCGCGGCCGCAGCGGGCACGCAATCGGAGCCGATCGGCTACGCGATAGAGAAAGAGCACGCAATCGGAGCCCATCGGCTGCGCGAGCGAGAAAGAGCACGCAATCGGAGCCGACAGGCTGCGCAAGCGAGAAAGAGCACGCAATCAGAGCCGATCGGCTGCGCGAGCGAGAAAGAGCACGCAAGCGGAGCCGGTCGGCTCCTTTTATTACTTCACACGAAGCGCGTTCAGGCATTTTTAATGACAAAAAAGGTGCAAATGCAAAAATAAACTTTAATACAATCACTCAAAACACTGTTTCCAACGTGATAAAAATCTGCTCTCCTCTCCGAGCCGGTCTGTGTGAACGGACCCTCACCCGGCGGAGCTTGACCGCGAGCCGCGTAGCTGCCCGAAACCAACGATCAAGACACCAGGGCCAAGTTGAGATTACTCCTTGGCCCCAAACCACCGGATTTGACACCCCGGACAGGACCCCATCGGCTGCGCGCAGCGAGTTGAACGTCTCCTCGCCCTGTATCAGCAGGGCGCGAAATACCACACCACCCGAAGGGGGCATAGCCCCGAACGGGCCTAAACACACCCCTCTCGAGGGAGTGTGTAGCAAATTCCACGACGGTGTGAATATACGTATAATATGAGGCATGAGCATTCAGCCTTCAGGCGGTTGAGGCCATAACCCATTCTCTGTATATATGTACTATATATTATTTTTCTATGCCATAAGCCATTGAGAATTACATGGATTACCTCTCCAGTTGATATGGCAGTGCTAGAATTAATAGTGGTCCCAGTTCTGTGTGGCAGTGTATCCTGGAGAATTAATATATTGATAGGCGAATGATACTGGAGATATAAAGGCTAAAGTCGTCAACGTTTTCAAGTTTTCGTTTTTTTTGTTTATGCTTAAGGTCTTATATATGCTTTTTAAGCTATATTCAATTCCTCTTGTTACATAATATACAAGAAGATGTCAAGATCAGTGGTTGGAATGGTTTTCTGAATAAATATACATTCTTTTTTTAACCTCAATAGTTAAATATTGAGGATGCTCAGTTTGATACATAGTATAGCGACATATCTGTTTTTCTCCTAAAGTGGATAGTGTTAATAGTATTTGATTTGGCTCTTTGACGGTGGA